AAACAGAACCCATCACCAGAACTTTCCCTTCTGGATTACATAAGAATGTAGACATCTCTGGTAATAAATTTACTCTGACAGCTGCTAAAAAATTTACAAAGCTTGACAACATACTCTGAAAGCAAAGGAGAAAATAGAGACCTTGGTTGATTATTTACCTAAAACATGTATCTTTTGGGGAAACACACACACACAGAGAGAGAGAGAGATAGAGCATTTAAGTACGTGTATAAGAAGGCATTAAGATACTACTTTTTCTCCCACTTTGTGGCCTGTCTTTTAAGGTTCGTTATAGGAGACATCTCATTTTTCATGAGGAAAAGTAAAAATGACTTAGAAAAGCATGGTCTGCCTTTGGATTGCAATGCAAAGTCAATCCCTGCTCATTTTCCTTAGGGAAAAATTTAAGTTTTTCCATAGAGACAGACAAAGCTGAAGCAACCCCTTTGGCAATGATGTTTGCAGTCAATCTGGAGAGGCAAATGCATCACTGAAAGTGAATTTCTAAGCATCTCTCTAGTGTTACAAACAGATTAGCTCTCACAGTTACCTAGGCAGATGTGAATCTGTCCCACTTGCGGTCTTAATGCTTCCCTGTTGCTAATGATGTTCCAAGGGTATCAGAAAATGGAAATAAATGGCTGGCGTGGTAGCCGCCTGGAGCTGCCTTAAGTGCCAGCCCTGCTGGGTACCAATTGTTTGTTTGGTGGCTTTCAAAGTAAAGTGGAACATTGATTTGTTTAAACACTGCAATGCATTTGTATTTCTTATCCCCTCCCAAGCCATCATTTTCATCTCATTTAGAAGATGAGATCACACTGTATTTCATAGAGAACAGGTGCCATTCAGTGACTTGAAATATGACAGACTGATCTGTAACGATTTTCTACCAACTTATCTCTCAGGAGCACTTTTACACTGATACTGTGGAGCCCCTGACTATAAGGGAAGGGGATAAGAAGATGAGATTCAGGAAAACATGGAGTACTTAGACAGATATATTGGCTAATTTTCTGATTCTTTCAGTAATAACTTTTCCAAATTGGTAGCCCTGGGAAATTGTTATTTTTTTTCTGTTGATTTCTTCCTTTCCTTTATTCTTTTTCTTCCACCCTTTCTCCTTGTCTCCTAATCCTCTCTTTCCTCTTCTTCCTCTAATATGGTTTGGGTATTTGTCCTCTCTAATTTGTCTTGGGTATTTGAAATGTGATCTCCAGTGTTGGAGGTGGGATCTCATGGGAAGTGTTTGTGTCTTGGGGGCAGATCTTTCATGAATGGCTTGGTGCCCTCACCTCAATAATGAGTAAGTTCTAGCTCTATTAGTTTACATAGAGAACTGGTTGATTTAAAAGAATGTGCCACCTCCCCCTTGACTCTCTTATTCCCTCTCTCACCATGCGGCATGCCTCAGTTCCCCTTGCCTTCCACCCTAAGTAAAAGCTTCCTGACGTCCTGCCAGAAATGGATGCTGGCACCATGCTTCTTGTACAGTCTGCAGAGGTGTGAGTCAAATAGACCTCTTTTCTTTATAAACTACCCAGCTTCAAGTATTCCTTTATAGTAGTGCAAAATAGACTAACACATCCTCCATTTTTCTCTTAATATTTCTCTTCATATTTCTCTTCAGCTAATCTAGTATCCAGTTGCTCACAACATACTCATAATGAAGTACTCCAGAACAATAAACTCAGTCAGAACTTCGACTCCATACTTACAAATATACCTAACCAAGGAGTTGAAAGACCTCTGAAAGGTCCATTTACCAAAATATGATGCAAAAGAAAGATCTCTAAAGAGTTTTCTTTTTTCTTTCTGGTATGTTTTCAAATTTTCTACATAAAAAATGACCAACTCTCACAGTATCTTTTTTACTAGGCACAGTGGGCTGTCCCCAAACCCAGAGTACATATGTTCTCCTTCTGCAGGGGATTCATATGAAGCTGTTGTGGCAAAAAATCTCATAATCTTTCAAGCAAGCTACAAACTCCCAAAGACAGACTCACGTTTTGGGGCAGAAGGTAATAAATACATTTATTCAAATTAATTGCCCTGGCAGTCTAAACGTGTAGAATCTGAAATAGAGAATGCTGTTAAGGACAGGCTATCTTAGTAGTCTCTTGTACATAGAGTCAAAATTAATGGCAAACACAAGGTTACCCAGAAAGATACAGAAGAGTAATAATAAATAGATAAGGAGACTTTCTAATCCAACATTAGCTGGCTCAAATTATGGGCCATTGACTAAATTGTTTTTTTTTTTTTTTTTTTTTTTTTTTTTTTTGAGACAGAGTCTCACTCTGTTGCCCAGGCTGGAGTGTAGTGGGGCTATCTTGACTCACTGCAACCTCTGCCCTCCGAATTCAAGAAGTTCTCCTGCTTCAGCCTCCCAAGTAGCTGGGACCACAGGCACAAGCCAACATGCCCCGCTGATTTTTGTATTTTTAGTAGAAACAGTGTTTCCCCATGTTGGCCAGGCTGTTCTGGAACTCCTGGTCTCAGGTGATCCGCCCACCTCAGCCTCCCAAAGGGCTGGGATTATAGGCATCAGCCACCACGACTGGCCTAAAATTCTTAACTAAAGAGTGTTTCCTTAAAGCAAAAGTCCTTTCACATAGTTTAATAGATACCATTAACTTTAGACTTTGAATGAAAAAGATAATGTTTTAAATTCCCATAAGGTCACAAATGATCAAAACTTTCTGGGAAAGTTTTCCTGAGCTTATTTTCCTAACTTAGTGTCTACCCTGTCACCTGGCACAGAATGTGTTTAATATTTTTTACATCCTTCTCTTTATATTACCTATTTACTACCTTAAATGCCTGGGATTGTGTGACATTTTCTGAGGAAATGCCCTTAAGAAGCTTACAAATAGATGTATGAAGTAATACTTAAATTCATAAAATAAGCAAACTTGATTTATAAGCATAATAATTGTAATTAATTAACATATAATTTTTAATAAGTTATATTTTAAAAAATAATAATACCTAAAATAAAACTAAATGATGGTAAGCTCTGGATAAGAATCCGGGGAACTTTCAGAGGGGAGGTTAATTGAAACAAAACTTTGTGGTGAGTGTGGGCTTTGGTTCTGTGCAGTGCATATGATAGAGGAAGTTTAAAGGACTGATTGCATAAATCATATAGCAATGAGTGAGAAAATTATGAAAAAGTGAATAAACTCCATCTGGCAGAAGATACTAAGAATCATGGAGAAAAGGTTGCATAAGGCTGGCAGTGATTGTTGGAAGAGAATCTGGAGTATGAAGGTGAATAGTATAATTATGAATAGAAGTTCCAAAGGCTTTACACTAATTGGAGTGTTTGCCCAATCCAGGATCCCTTCTCTGGGGGGACTGGCCCCATCCGTCCATCCATCATTGGTATGAAACCATGGAAATTGTATTTATAAGATATGACTTTGAACACCATTTCCCAATTTCCTTCTTCCCCTTTCTTTTGGTAGAATATGGGAAATGAATACCTCATCTAAAATGGACAGGCATAAGTTGGATGTCAGATCTCAACAATTCTAGAAAGAAAAAAAAGGAAGTTAGGAGTATTCTAAACGGTTTGTTAGGCAACTAAACTGAGACCATGGAAAGTCCATGTTTAAAGTTATAGTTTGAGCCATATGCACTTGTAAAAAGGATGAATATTCTTGGGAGGGAAGGCAAACTGGAGAAAGAAGGAGAAAACATAATCCTTTTTTAAAAAAAGAAAAGATATTATAAAGCATACACAGAGAGATAAAAGATGAAAAATCATGGTTTTCTGGAAAAAACAGGAAAATTGATTCAGTTTCTGCCATATATCTGATCCCTGATCCAAGTTTTTTTCTAAATATTTCTCCTGATTTCTTCCTTTGGTTACTTTATTATACTTTATTATAACTTTGCATTCTTATATTGCATTTTTTTTCCTTTTTGTTTATTTTACTCGAAACAAGATTTTGTTATCTGAAACCAAAAGAGTTTGGACTGAGGTAGAAGTAACAGGAGTATGTAGACTGTATAAAAATAAGGTTGGCCAAGGAAAAGTAAAACCAATTGGAAAACATTTGAGAGGGAAGAAATGAGGGAGTCAGGAAGATACCTGAACTAGAAAGTAAGGGATCAATTCAAAAAACACTATAAAGAAATATTCAGCAATAATAAGTCAGTGATTATATGTGAAACTTCATAAAGACAAGTTGAAATTCACAAATGTGATTAAACAAGGACATATTCAGTCTACACTATGTATAATACCATAATATTGAATAATTAGATTAACCAATATAAGGAAGCCAGGATATTGTCCAAGTGATTTGATTTTGCAGGGATAATAAAGAATTTATTGGTGTTTTTATTAAATGTAAACTCAGTGAAGGTGGGGTTATGTTTGTTTTATTCATCATTATAGAGCGGTATTATAAGACTTACTTCTTAGTTCAGCTAAAAGCTGGGTTCTTGTCACACAACCATGAAAGATTAGGCTTGCAGACACTTTGAAGGGTGAGAAGGGCAGGGTTTATTGGGTGAAAAGGAAACAAAAGGAAACAGGGACTCTCAGTAAAGAAATAGTCCTGCTAATATGCTCCCCACCTCACAGGGTGAATCTCAGGTTACCACCCCAGATCAGGAGAGGCCAGGCTCCTCCCCACTGCAAACAGCATGAAATTCCTGAGGCTCCACTCCAGTGTATACTCCTCTAAGTGCGCAGGCTGGTCAGAGGTTCTTTGGGGACCTCTTTATACTTGGCTGTCTCACTGGAGCTTAGAAAAATGTGTAGTGGTTTATATTTGCTCAGCAAATATTTTTAAATAAAGTGTGGGTTTTTTATATGATAGCAGAACATTCACAATGACACAATGAGCAGGAAAAAAAAATAAATTATTTCATCCTCATTACTATATGAGCATTATGTTGGTGCTAGAAAAAATAAAATCAATGAAACACGGTAAACCCTGACAGAGGACCTTGCAGTCCTGGGGGGAAAAAAAAGGCAAAACTGAATGTACAGATACAAGGCTTATTGGCTCTTAAAACCTGAGAGTAGGAGGTTTTGGCAGAGGGTAACAGTTTAACTTCACGGGAATTTTTGCTTTTAATATATACTCTGTTAGCTTGCTCTATGTCATCTAAACAAGTATCAACTGTACTTGTATTTTGTAGTTTGATATCTAATGCATAAGTGTGATATGAGCACCTTTTCCCATTTGTAGGATTCAGGCTCAGTACTCATTCCTCATCAAGGTGCATCACCTCCAGCTGTAGAGCTGGCAATATTAAGTATCTCTGGTAATTTCTAGGAGCTCTCTCAGAGGTGTAGCTCACCTTGCAAAAGATCTAAAACACAAACAATAAGACACTGAGAAAAAAAGGATGGTGGATCCAGTTCCAGTGAGGAGGCCATCTGTCATGGAAAATGATGAGTCATAATTGAGGGGAACCCATGTCGTCAGTGGGAGAATCATATTAAACAGCAAGAATAAAGGGAAAAGGACAAAATGAAAGAGGAGAATGAGCTGAGAGGATTCTAGTCATGATGGTACCACAGTTAGAGAAGAGTAGGTTATAAAGATGAATTCAGATAAAAAATATTCAATGGTGAAGTCATACTTGCACTCAACATGAATGCAGTGCTGTTTGCTGTGTAGATACAGCATAATGGAGCTCTGTATGGTGAAACATACAATGTTATCCATAAAAATTGACCAGGTTACTCTACAGGTATGTCTATATTCATGTATTCAATAATTATTCATCAAATGCATAATATATGCAAGACATTTTTCTGAGAGATTTATCAGTCTAAGAAAACTCTGCCTTTGAAGTAGAAATTATCAAAGTTTATAAAAGAGACGCACTCACCTTAGTTTGAAATTTCCAGAATAAATTTCTTTTGTACTCTGGGAAGATCTTACCTAAAACAAATTCATCTCTAAAGAATGGAGAAGCTTCTATTCTATCATTGTCAAGGAAAACTCCAGTTAATATGAATGAAGGCTCCAATCTCATATCTGTGCACAAGAAAGAGAAAAGGAAAGAATGGAGAGGAGGTCAGAAAACAGTGGGGTGGAAATTAAAATCCTCATTTAAAAAATCTAAGAAAAACATGAGGGAAGCAATTACTCTGCATGTTTCCCAGCTGATTCACAGGAGATTCATGATTAGAGTTGGCCAGAGGAGGTGAAGGCATGGACTCTGCCGTGCTCCTTCCTGGAATTAGATGATATGGATGAGTAGTTCTCCCTTTGATGGAGTCCACATCATTTCCCCTGCTGTCCCTCTTGCTGGAAATGTCCCCCAGCTAACACAGGGCTTCCTCTGCTGTGACTGCAAAGCTGAGCTGCTGGCAGGGGGCAGATTGCTTTCCACAGAGGAGACCAGATATGGTTTCTTTGCTGCTATGGTAGCTACTCGGGCAGCATCTCCTTTGGAAGAGATTCCACCCTAAACCCTTTAAGGCTGGGGAAAAGATAAATGCTGCAGCTTAAAGTCAAAGAAATTCCAAGCTCCTTGCTCCAGAGAAGATTAAGTCAGCAGGAAATCCAAATAATGAGAGCCCCGAGGAACTATTCTGAAAATCAGAGGAAACTGAAAGAAAAACTTAAAATAACATCTCTTTTAAAGGAAAAGAAAAACAACAGGAGGTTTAATAAATTTATATGGCCTCTCACTGCATTGTAAACATTTGAGAAGATAAGTAAACAGAAGAGGGAATGGTGTAAAGGAGGAAAAAATATAGATGGTTCTTACAACTCTGCAGCATCTGCCAACACAAATTACAGTGCAGACCAGACTGGTGAATTTCTCTGGGGACTTCCCAGAGTGTGAAAGAAGGGAAATGGGGAAGGAATAAGATCTGAGTTTCAAGGGAAAGAATGAAAAAAATTAAATTTTTAAAAGTTTGCTTTTCTAGTCCCTGAATTACCATCAGAAAACGCTACAACGTTGCATTTAAGGGAAGTAAGTATGTATGCTAGAGATGCCATTGAAGAAGGGACGAAGCAGTGCTTGACTATCTGAAGCTGAGGAGTTCTGAAGATCTTTACCCAACCTCAAACTTGCTGGTGCTCATGTCTCTGTGGTTCTGAAGTAGAGCTAGACTTCAATCTCAGTGTCATGTCTTTATTCATTTAGGCCTGGAGGGAGGACAGAGGAAGAACCTTGCCTCTGTAATTTGGACTTCTGCTATTCTGTCACAATTGCTGCCTTGTTGTTTTGTGGGTTTTTTTTTTTTAATCATTTTTTTTTCTGGCAGTTGCACAAGAATGTCCAGGAACCATATGGCAGAATGAGTTTTCATTTCTGTGTTCTTTAATCCAAGTTCAAGATGCTGCTCGTGAAACCTAATCATAGATCTTAAAAACCCTCCTTGTCTCTCTCATTTCTCCCTCTTGCTACTGCCTAGGGATTTGGCTCAAGGAAACCTTGGTTAACAGTCAATTGAAAGTTGACTCTCAGATGGAAAGGCTGGGAAATATCAAAGACCTGCAAATGTTAGTTTGATTCACTTCAAGGTCATCACATCAACCAACATTTTATCAGCATCTGCAATTTCTAGATGTTTTGTAAAGTGTTGTGGGAATACAAAGATGATTAAAACACAGACAGTTGCTCAACCAGGTGTAGTGGAAAGAGCAAAGACTGAAATGAGAGGAGAGTTGACCTGACTCTGCTGCTATAATTATGACTGTTTTTCCTCTAAATTCCCTTCTCTTAAAATACGGCCCCACTAGCAGTCCAGGGCTACATGAGGGGCTCATATGAACGGGCTTTTATTCTGTGATACTGCCATATTCACTGACCCAACAACACAGGTTCTCAGCTCAAGGATGAGGTTGGGCAACGGTGACCATATTCTATCTCTATACTGTAAATTTAGGCTTGGCTTGGTGACTAATGCCTTTAATCCATGCACTTTGGGAGGCTGAGGCAGGAAGATTGCTTGAGCCTAGGAGTTGAAGGCTGCAGTGAGCTATGATTGTGCCACTGCATCCAACCTGGATGACAGAGAGAAAATCTATCTCAAAATAATAAATAAATAAATTATAAGCTTAGAATGTTAGGCTTTAGAATGTTAGATTTAGCACCAGAATCTCCTATGCTGAAGCAAAACTAATGGAAAGCTAAGATTGAGAAAAATAAAAAATAAAACTATTGTAGAGATAGCCAGTGTACATAGAAATGAATACAGCAAATATGCAGAGAGAAGCAAAAATATGTGACAACGATTGAGAGGGAATAAAACAAAGGGTCAGAGGGGGCAGAAGGCAGGGAGAGAACAAGAGAAAAAAGTTACTAATGACTGACCAACATGAGACATTATTGTATTTCTTGTAAAGTATCTTATGACGTTTCTCATATTCTTCTAATGACCCTTGTTTTTAACTTTAGCTTATGTATTTTTTGTCCTTTGAAACCAAATTAACATTAATTATAACAGATGTTGACTGGTGTGGTCTAGAGCAGATCACACTATCTCTAAGTTATAATTTGGTTAACTTTTAGGATACTGATATATTGTTTCTTAATCCCGGAGTCAACGATGATACCTGAGACAATGCTGTGATGTTTGGAATTTATCTGCTCAGTACATGGTCTCTGAATGGTAATCTCCAGTCAAGGCATTAGTGATGGAGAGTATGGAGGGATCTAATCATGAAGACAGTGAAGGTTCCAGGAACTCTGCGAAAGATAAAATGGCAATGGCTAGGAGAAGCAGGGTAGGGAAGAAGCTTGGTGTGGCACAGTTTAACTGGAGTGAGGGACTAAAGATGGAAAACAATAACAGATTACGGTTGATGATTTTATGACCATGTTTAGGGATTTGAATTTCAAGTTAGTTTTGGTTTCAATATGTTTAAGGCATATCCAGTTGATAAGGTATGTGTAGGGGTGGGAAGGTAGAAGGTAAGATTGAGTAACACAAAGCCCCTCAATCTTTTACATTCATGTCAACCCAGTTCAAAATCTGCAGCGTTTTACTCTCTACAATTTGCATTTTAAAAAGATTGGGATTTTTTTTTTCAAATATAAATTTATATTATACCTTCCAATCTATTTTTAAATATTATCTTCATCAATTAAGTTAAGTCTAGTGAATTCTCCTGCCCCATAATCCTTCTCCTTATTTAAGGACAAGCACATTTGGAATGCTAGCCTTGTAGACCATGTTTACCCTACTCACTGTTAAAAGCAAGATGATTCTGAGATTTGTTGGAGTACAGTGTATTGTATATGTGTTATGTATGGTGCCAGGCATGTAATAAGGGCTCAATAAATACTTATTGAAAAAATTAATCAATAACATTCCTTTTTAGTTTCCCATGATGATTAATAAGTTTCATTTGTTCCATCATTCCAGGCATTCTGATTCTAAACAGAAGAATGAGGAAGAGGAGTAAGGGGAAGAGAACAAAAAGCAATTTTTATGGTTTTTTTAAGAGAAAACTGGAAAACATTGCAATAATAGAAACACACTGCCATTTGTGTATAATCAACATGCCCCTACATTTTTAATCTCCACCTTCTTATGATCTGCAGCCCTGTCCATGACCTTTTGATATAGAGGATGCTGACCCTAATGAAAGAAACATTATCGTTACTTCATCGAAGTTTAGGAGAGAAAAATAGATGACAAATTAGAAGACAAGCTAAAAGCTTAACTCTAGTTGTAACAATGATATATGATCAGTTTAGATAAAGCAGAAAGTCCAGATATAAAGAGATATACATTTAAATCATTAATTAATAAACAGGGAAAGCAAGGCAAGAATAAAGTATATTCTACATTGGCACTATGATGGTAACACAGTTTGTAAGAAGAAAAACAAATGAAAATGTTTGCACATAGTATGGAGGGACACTACCTAGGCCACTGATTTTGCCACCCTAGGATCCGTTATGGTTTATTGTTGTTTTTAATTAAGTAGGGGTGCTGAGAGAATGTACGTACCTTGCTCATGACTGTGGTTTAAATTAGTAAAGGTTTTGATTGGTGCTGTCATCCTCAGCCTATTCCTTGGGGCTTCTCACTCACCGTCCCCTTCAAAAATGAAACTGATTAGAAACTCTTGTCTTTCCTGGAGTCTCCTTTAATTTTTCTTCCTCAAGATAAACACATCAGCCAATTTCCGTTCAGTGTTTGAATCAGAAACACTGAGAAAATAAGTAAGCTGTGAAAATAAATAAGATGACCAAAATAATATTCATGGAAAAAGTTTAAGACTCACCAAGTTTATATGCTAGTGATCTGTGGGGTTTCCAGTAGATTTGACTCCTGAATACCTTCTAATATAAAGAAGAAGTCTGTGTAGGCGATTGCTCTTCATTATTTTTTTTTCTCTAAAACTAGGTATAGCAGTTCCCTCCTTTGGATATTTTCTTAGTAAAGGCATTCCCTAAAGTAGGTTTCAAAGCACACTGGGTGTTTTCACACACAAAAAAGGGAAAGGAATAAATTGCTTTCTCTGCAATTACAACAGGCTGGTCTATTGACACACAAGTGAATGAAATGTTTATACCCTGAGAGGGAGCCCCTCCATCACTCTCCAAATTACAGGCCCTCAGATCACCATTGAATGTCTAGCCCTAGAAAATTTGCAGAGATAGACGAAGAATAAGGGAAAGAGAACATAGCAGGCAGCAGTAAATAGCTGTATTTATAGCATTGTGTTCTAATGGAAACATCAATCCTGTTTTCTGAGGAAACTACTGAAAATCCTAACCATAATATTGTCCTCTACTTGACTGCCAGACTGGCTTATAACTTATTCCTTCAAAAAGCTAGAAGCTAAATTCTCCGTGCCATACAGAGTACAACCTGAAGATGAAATTGTAAACCATTTCAAAGACTCATTTAACATAGAAACAGGTATTTTCAGGCATCTAACCATCAATTTCAATGCTGGTTTCTGAGCAGTTCTCAGGTGTGATGAATAGGTGAGGCGGAGGTGTACCCCAGCATCTATCTTTGTATTGGGAACATGATAAACAATTATAATATTTATTATTCAAGCATTTAACCAGTGGGATATCACAGTTAATACAGAATATACCAATTTGTGCAGCAAAAGTTTCTTGAGCAAAAACAACCTTTAGGAGAATCTTTTTCTATGTAAGGTGTATGAAAAAATAATTTGGAATAAACTCTAGTGCTGTTTATGTTTAGAAATATAATCCTTTCCAACCATAAATTTTTAGTCTAATAATCAGACCAATAACTAGCTCTACCTTGTGAGGTTGACAGCTCATAAGGGGCGAAGAAGAAGAAGAAGAAGAAGAAGAAGAAGAAGAAGAAGAAGAAGAAGAAGAAGAAG